CTCTTGTTCTTGAGTTTGTAACACTTTAAATCCACTAGTCAGCATCTTCCCATTTCTTTTTCCTTTAAATAATTTTTTTATTTTATTTTAAATTATGGGGGGTGGGGAGGTATGTGCACATAAATGCCTCTGGAGGACGGAGGAGGGATTCAGATCCCCTGAAACTGAAGTTTCAGGCAGTTGTGAGCCACCTGATATGGGAGCCGGGAACTGAACTCAGGTCTGCTGTAAGAGCAGTACCGACTCTTAACAGCTGAGCTATCTCTCCAGCCTCTTGGTTCTACATATCTGACGTTTCTTGTCACTGTTCCGATTACAGCTTTCTTATTTTCTTTCTTGTGTGTATGAATGTTCACACATGTGTGGGTTCATGTGTAGATATGAATGCTCTTGCTGGTAGAGGTCAGAGGTTGATGTAAGGAGTCTTCTTTGATTTCTCTCAGCCTTATATATCAAGGTAGTGTCTCACAGTGAACTCGGAGCTCACCGATTTGTCCAGTCTAGCTAGCCAACTTGCCCTAGAGATCCTCTGCCTCTGCCTCCCAAGAGCTGGGATCACAGGTAAGCTGTCACATTTGCCCGGAATTTATGTGAGTCCTAAGGTTGAATCTGGGTTCTCAAATTTGCCCAGCAAACACTTTGCTCACCTAGTCCTTTCTCTAGACCCTCAACATTCTTATTTATATTCCCTTTTCAAAGCATATGACTTTTAAAAACACCTTTCTAGGCATCTCATAATTGTAGTAAACATCATACAACTCAAAGTGGATAAACTAGATTATTTGGGCAATAATTAATTGTAGGCAGAAAATAGTGCAGAGATATCAGCCAACCTCCAAAGCCTAGGGGGAGATGACAGGCCCAGTATGGATACGAAGGAAGAAAACAGTACTATCCTCCCTTGTGACTTTGAAAGCCGGGGAAAGAGAACAATTGATGTGATTGAGGTAAGCATGTTAAAGCCAGAGTATGTGAATCTTCTAGCATCTTTCCTCAGATTTTTCAAGAAATTAAAATAACTGCCCTGGAGAACAGGACAGCATGACTTCTCAAGGGAAATCTGTGAATTGTCTTCCTTCTTAGAAAAATGACTGGATTTGTGGAAATTATACAGGCCTGGTGCTGATTTCTAGAGCAAATGTGTGGGGACAAGATGGGAACTCAAGGCCCTGGTCCTCTCTGCTTGTGACATCCTGTCTGCCCAAAGTCTGAGCCAAGAGCAGAAAGTCCACATTACTGCCTCCCAACATGTCACTGTCATCCCGTTATTGGGAACTGAAGTCCAGGATGCAAACCCCACTGCTGAGGAACGAAACCGGAACGTGGTTGTACCCAGGGACTCAGAAACACGTGTTCCCGAGTCAACTCCAGCAATTCTTCTTTGTCTCCACTACAGATACCTGAGATACAGCTACCCAAGACAGAGGTAAGAATATTTCATGAAATACCCTTCTTGGTGACTAGTCATGGTGGTACACACTCAGGAGGCAGATGTAGATGAATCTCCATGATTTCAAGGCCAGCCTAGTCTACATAGCCAATTTCAAGCCAGCCAGGGATATGTAGTAAGACCCTGTCTCAAAAACAAAACCAAAAACAAACCAAAAAAAAAAAAATACCTCTTCATTTAAAATTGCGCTGGTGTAACATGTCTCATAACTCTTCTACAAACTTAGCTTACCCCTGAGCAACTTTGATGGAACCCACTTCCTCTTCTTCCTGTGTCAAATGAGGTAGCTGGTTACCTCCATCCCTTCCGGTTTCTGTCATTCTATACCCTTTGAGATCCCTTGGCCCTACTTCACGAGGATTCTAGAACATATTGAACTTCTGAAGTGCTCCCTGGGGAGGGAGGATGGCAAACAGTAAAAGGAACCTTGTGGATACCACATCAGAATTCAAGGCAGGCAAAGCAAGGTGAGAGCCAGGAGCTCCCCTGGGGTACAGAGGGTGCTGGATGCCCTGATCATCTAGAGTAATTGCTGCCGCCACTACGCTGACAGTAATAACCCCAGAACCACCGACAGCCCTTTTCATCTGAGAGATCTCAAAGCACTCAGCCGCCAGGTGCTTATTAAGCCCTCTTGGATGAGGTTGGCCCAACGGGTCTAGGCCCTTCCTACAGACGGTCAAGGTCGGAGGGTGACTCAGAGAATCCAAGGAGCCAAAGATGCAGGGGTGGGGGGCATAAGCTCCCTACACGTGGGAAAATGAGCCTCCTTGGCCCAGTCCTGGGTCTGGACTCCAAGGGAATGGAAAGGAGGCAAACTCCTCCCCATATTGTCTACAAGCAGGGTCATGTAGAATTAATCCAACATGAGGCTCATTTCCCCCAAATACCAGACAGGACTGTTTACAGCCCGAGAACTGGCAGAAGGCGTAGGGAAGTGGGCATGGGCAGCTCGATTTTGGAAGGCAGGAGCAGACGTAAGGAAAACATCTCCTCTTAAAGGGGATGAGCTCCGGCTGAGGAAACACCACGTGATTCAAGTCTGGGTCTGAGGAGCGTGGTTCTAGAAAGCACAGGTCTTAGGAATAACACTGCAGAGAAAGCAGTTCTCTGGCAGCAAAATCACTGCCTAGGAAGCCTGGGTTCAATCTGGAAGGACAAATGTTTGCTTCTGTGTTCCACACAGTGGGTAGATCAGAAGGTGATTTCTACTCACCGCCCCCCATACTTTCACACCCCTTCTTAGAGCCTCCCCGGTATTACAGTGAGAACCAAGTGCATCCCTGGACGAAAACAGCCCATTCTGGCCAGTCACACCACTGTGGACCCAAAACCATTTTTGAATAACTTTCTGATACAGATTTTGAAGCCTGCCTTTAGAATGAGGATTAAACCCATAGACCATTTGGATGGAGCACCAGACAGTCTCAGAAAAGCAGAGTCTCTGCTTGCCCGCTTTGCTACTGCCACTCTGGCAACAGGCAGAAGAGTCCCTGCTGGCACGTGTGCTTTTCAACAGAACCTACGTCAGAAGACACACTTCAGGATACTGAGTTTGGGCGGTGACTCGTGTATACATAAGGGGACACAGTTGCATACCTGCCCTCATCTTTTTGGAGAACTTCAGCCAAATAAATCACTGCTGAGGCACCCAGTGGTGACTGCTACATTTCAAATGTAATCACTTTCAAGAAAACTGTGTTTTATGTTTTAACCTGAACTCACTAAACATAGAAGGCAAGAGAGTCTTTCTGTAGACTATCCTGTGTATCTGGAGGAAGACTACTCGAGTATATAAGAGATTCTGAGAACTAACTGATAACAGGAAACTATCTTGTCAGGAAGGAGAGTTAGATGATAGCTCCCCACTGGCCTCTGGAAGCCAAAGCTCAGACCCAGGACCCTGCTCCCAAATATTTCCATCTTGCCAAAGCTCTCAAGGCAAAGGACACATTAGAAATTCACTCTGGCTGGGTGGCGGTGGTGGCGCATGCCTTTAATCCCAGCACTTGGGAGGCAGAGGCAGGCTGATCTCTATGAGTTCGAGTCCAGCCTGGTCTACAAAGCAAGTTCCAGGATAGCCAAAGGCTGTTACACAGAGAAACCATGTCTCAAAAAACAAAAACAAAAACAAAAATATGAAAAGAAAAAAGAAAAAGAAATTCAGTCTGTAATTATTACTGTGCTCATCAAGACCATCACTGTCTCTGCAAAGGACCTGTTGTTCACCCCCACCCCAACACCCAATGGTAATAGTCCTACATGGAGAATTGGAAGAGACCCATTTGCCTAGAAATGGGGAGACCCCACCCCCAACCTCCAAGAGAAGGGGAGGCAGGGGAAAGACTCTCATTAGCAAGTCGCAGGTGGTGTTACCAGGGTGTTATTTATTATTTGTTGGCTGCCAAGGCTTTCCTGAGCCTGAGCCTGCAAAGGCAGAGCCATTGCCTCAGGGGCTGCAAAGTCTGAGACAGACAAACAACACACAACCCAAGCTTGAAATCCGCCTCACTGGGAGCTGGGGGCAACCTCAGGGATAGGAGTCACACCCCTTCTACAGAGTCCTCTAGTCCCTTAATGTCTTGGGGAAGGCACAAGTGTTCCAGTAAGGACATAGATTGGAGGCATGGACTCTGCCAAGGAATGGGGGGCTCCAAAGAAAGAGCCCCAGCACAGGTTGGGGCAAGAGGTCTCAGTATGGTGTGAGAGGTAGGAGGAAATGAGATCAGGGTTACAGGCTGGGACAGCAGGCAGAGGAGGCGGGTTGGGGGGAGAGGCGTTGCTGAATGGATGGGGGAGGCCAAGAGATGTCATCAGCTGTTGCGTGGGGGAACACTGATGCCAGAACACAAGTTGTGGCAAGAAATGAGCTGCAAGCAGTACCAAATGATTGAATGGGCATTCAACCAGAGGGAAGAGGGGCTTGTCATCAGCAGTACCCTATGTGGAGATGCTACTGATCCGAGATGGCTGGTTCATTCTACATAAAACAGACTCAAAGGCTCAAGTATAGCACAGTAGGACTCACCAAGACAACCCTGGCCACGTATCTCTTTGTTACCTCGTCGAGTGAAGAAAACTTCAAGTCTCCTGTGACCTCTTTGCCTAAGGAAGTCATCTGAGGACTCCCTGTGCTCTCAGAGTTCCAACTTCTGGGCCTGGTTTCTTCCTCTGTACCAACTAACTTAGGCAGCATATCTGAAGTGTTAGCAGAAAAGATAGGGGCTCCTCTCCAACCAAAGAAAAGTGCTTCTCTGCATTTGTCCGTCTAAAATTCATCTAATTTTTAAAATTATGTGCATGTGTGTGTGCCTGTGTAAATGTATGTGCCCCACATGTCTGTAGGTGCCTGAAGAAGCCAGAGCCTTGAATCCCCTGGAGCTGGAATTATAGGAGGCTGTAAGCCACGTGATGTAGGTTCAGAGAACCACTGAGCCACTGCTCTTACCCTCTGCGTTAGCGTTTGTACGCTTCAAGAAAGGCAGACCAGCAAGGAGGAAGGAAGTAGGGACTCCAGGCTAGAACTGGAAACTGATGAGGTGGGAAGTACCTGAATCACACTCTGCTCTTGCACCATCAGCCTAAGATGAGGCCTGCGCGCACAGCAGAACGGCCCCCAACTGAAGGAGTCAATCATGTACCAGCTGTGTTAAAAATTCAGCCCTTTACTGAATGTCACCTTTCACTCATCTTTTTTCCTCTTATTTGGAAGAGAGGAATGACAAGTACTCTTCCTCTTAATTTAGAAATCCCAGAAAATGATCATAAAATCCCAAATCAGGTCACAGACGCCATCAGCCTCTTGCAAGCTCAGCATGCCCAGGCACTCTCTCTGCTTTCTTCCTGAGGCCATCAAACTGGACCAGATGAGGAACTCCAAAAAGAGGAAACATTGAGGAGATTCTAACCCCTCCCTCAGAAGTGTGCATCCATTCCCAGTATCTTTGCAGGGCTCTCCTCACTGAAACAGCTTCACACTGAAACGGCTTCACACCGAAACACTGCAGAGTGCTCTAGCTTGTGACTTATGCCCAAGAGGAGAAGTCATACTTCAGCTTCTTGCTTTAAATTCAGTAGATCTATCTGTAACAAGGTAGGCTGAAGTGACACTTTGCAGAGATCCTGTCTAAAATGGCTCTGGGAGACTTAGGTCTGTGCATCACTCACGTACGGACAGTTGCGGGATCACTGGTGACTGGGGATCCAACTTCCTTCAGCATATTCAAGACAGGGGTACAGACAGCATCCTCACCTGAAAAAGGATAAAAAATAGACATGACTATAATGCAGAATAAATGCTCCCCCACACACCCCATATTGCTAATTCCTAAATTCTCTATGAATATTGGCACTGAAAAAAAAATAACACAGACAATGCAAACATGTTAGATAAATTTTCTAAAATTTGGTTCTGAAATGGATCATACAAAGCTTTGTACAATGTTTTCCTGTTACATTTAGGCATCTAAACATCTGATCACATCTTCTTAGCATGCGCTTACTGGGAGTTAGGCAGAGAAAGCAAGTATGAGGTTACACATTCCGAGCAAAGACACCGCTGAATGGAAAGAAAATCAATAACCACATTTGAATATTCCATTTATTACCAAACTCTCAGAGTTACTCTGCACAGAGAAACTCAGAACTGCCATCCATCCACCAGGGGGCCAGGCAGCTGCAGTCTTTCCTTACAGCGAACACAGTGCAGAGAGAAGCGAATGAGATATTTCTAACCACCACAGGCTTCTAGGGCACAGGAGGGTCTGTTCTCATAATGTTAATGGCAGAATAAATTCTATCCTTCAATTGGTTTTCAATTTGACTAATTTATTGAAGAAGGAGGCAATCAGGCCAGGCATAGTGGAAAACTTCCTAATAGGAATGTGCCTAATGACCTCTAGACCACTTGACTTTAATAAAAGCATCCAATCCCTTCTCTTTTTCAGGCTAGACATGCTGAGGTGGTGGGATGGGTAGGATGACTCTTTGCTTCCTCAGAGCCTTGAATCTTCTTGCCTAAGGGAAGCCAGATCCAATATCCAGGAGGTGAGAGCCGCAGTGTTATTTTACAAACAAGCCCTCCTTATATCAACGCCACTTACTGTACTGGAAGCCGGTATTAAGTGAACCGCTAGTGTAGTGCATCAAGGGCTTATTGAATATTGATTCCCATTTACGTGACAGCAAAATGGCCTAAGAAATCTTCGCTGGATGCCTCAGCCCTTTGATAAAGAGGGTGTTAGTTTTGTTTTATGAAGCCGGGATCCAGGCCAGTCACATCTTATAGCTCCACTTACTTTTATTTAATAAAAACAAGGGATGGTATGGGCGAGAAGGGGGAGGGTGTTGTATCATGTTGTTTTTCAAGAGGATTCGATCTGTTATCAAAGGATAGGAATGAAGTTGGACCCCAGGAAGGATGTTGATCAAGCCGTGAGCCAGGAAATAGAGAAATACCAAATGGACAACCCCAAAAGCACATACAGGTGCCTCACTCAAGGAAAAAAAAGTTTGCTACCTGGTTGGGATAAGGATTTAGAAGTCCAGAAAATACTGTCACAGCAAACAATAGTGAACACTGCTTCTGACAGCATGATGATCTCTTTAGGGAAGCAGGGGTCCTATCACCCTTTCCCATAATCCAGGTCTCCCCTAAGCCAGCCCTCAATCTACAGTATACCACAATTCCTCCAATTGTCCAAAAATTCCAGAAAAAGTAATCACACTGGTTGTCTCATACCAGTCTCCTCTCAGTTCCTAGCAGAGAAAGACTCCCTGAGGTTAAACCTGAGTTTTGTTCACCCAATTCTTCAGAATGAGATGGGGGTGGGACAAATCCTGTCCTGGCTCCCTGTCCCTCCTCTACCCTCCACATTTAAAGTTAGACACCTGTCTCCTCAGTGTGAAGGACAGCAACCTCCCAGAAGGTCCTGGCCTCTGTCTCAAGAGCTTTAACACAAAAGCTATTTTCTTCCAACCTGACCAGTTGGGGTGCAGAGGCAGAGGGATGGCAAGATTGGAGACACAGAGACAGGAGGGTGAACTGGGGAGTGGCCACAAATCGGTCAGCCTGCCAAGAGCCACTGACCCCGTTTTAATATCCCAGAGGTTGGAGGCGAGAGCAGAAATCACAGGCTCCAGAAAAAACAATCTTTGAAAGAAAATTGCCTGTCTCAGCCAGAGATATATGAAAGCGCAGTTACAGTCGGGGGGTGAGGGGAGTGGCTGTAAAACTACACCTGGTTATTGCACCGACTGGCTGACACCATGATGCTTTTGCACTCCAAACAGTTTTGTTTGAAATGAAAAATTCTGTGGACTCCTGTAACTAAGATGGTGGGGATGAGAGAGATAGAAGAGAAGGGGGCGGGCTGCCTCGTGTGGGACAGAGGTGGTCAGGGTTAGCAGTGGGATGAACGGACAGTCAAGATGGGTGGGGACAGGGATTTAGAACTCATGACAGCAGGGCCAGAAGAAGGCGGGAGGATTCCCATGCCAAGTTCCACAGAAGAACTCTCCATCCCTGTCCTCTGATGGGCTTTGTCTGGATTTCATTCATGTCTCTGCCTTTCCAGATGACTTTACATCTTCTCACTTCTCCGCCTTCGTTCACTGCTCCTCTACCCCTTGTCTATTGCCATGTCTTGTTCCCAATGTTCCATGACTATATTTATGACTCCGTCTCCCATGGTATTTGTCCCTCTTGTCCTTCCACTCTTCTTACCGTTCACCTTGTATGCCCATCTCTTTGGCCATCACTCTTTGCTCTCTGATTCTGTGTACTCTGATGAAAAGTGGCCAGGGAGCGGAGAGAGGAAATTCAAAGTAAACTGTTAACTACCGTTTATGAAGCATTTGTTATGTGCCAAGCCCTCACTGACACATCCTCCTATTTAATTCTTACAACTAGTTTGAGAGGTAGGCTTTATTATCCCCATTTTACAGATGGGAAAAGAACATCAAAGAGTCTAAGTAATATAATACTAAGTGGGATTCAAACTGAGGCCTGCCTACTTCAAATACCTCATCCTTAACAATTAGTAGACAAGAAAAACCAGACAGAAATGTGGTAAAAGGGCAAGTTGGTGGGAAAGACCTTGGAGAAAATCATGGAGGCAGGACCAAGTGAGCAGTCTAGACCAATCAATGGCAGAAGCTGGATGCCAATTTTTAACCTGCTTGCTTTGGACCTGAGGAACTGTCTATCAAGTTTGTCTGGGCAGCTAACAACACTCTCCTGACATGGGTTTGAGGGAAGAAAAGCAAGAAATGGGGAGACAGTTCAACCAGCAATGTACTTGCTTACAAGTACTAGGATCTGAGTTCAATCCTCAGTACTCACATAAAAAAAAGAAAGAAAGAGAGAAAGAAGAAAGAAAGAAAGAGAGAAAGGAAGAAAGAAAGAGAGAAAGAAGGAAAGAAAATACAGATATTCCTACAAGGTGATGGGTTCTTGTAATACAGGGATTGGGGAGGCAGAAATAAATGGATTCTGGAAGCTCATTAGACAGAAGTGTAACCTACTTGTGGAGCTCCAGGACAGTAAGAGACGACAGAGAGAGAGAGAGAGAGAGAGAGAGAGAGAGAGAGAGAGAGAGAGAGAGAATGTCGCCTAAGCAATTAAGACCTGAAGTTTCAGTTTCTTCTGACTTCTACATGTATACACACATACAACACACACATACACACACCTCTCTCTCTCTCTCTCTCTCTCTCTCTCTCTCTCTCTCTCTCTCTCTCTCTCTCTCTTTCACCCCCTCACACACAAGAGGCCCACCAGCCCCAAAGGGGAGCTCCCTTCAAAGCCCCACCCACCTGGGCATTATCTTTTTCTAAACCTCCCAAAACCAAACTTTTCCAACTGAGCCTCCAAATCCTTTGGGAAAAAACTAGTTCCTTGCAGCTTGGGATGGCATCAGCGCTCATGGCCAAAGACACCTGTGCACTTGTTCAGTGTAAATAAAATTCACTGGAAAGCTATATTGGATCACAAAATTCTTTTGCCAAAAGACTAATCTTTTGACTTATCCACAGTCAATTTCTCCTTCATCTTAAAACCCCAGAATACTCCATTCCCCTCCCCTTCTAGTACATTCTCCCTTTGCTACTCATAAAAGGTTCACCCCTTCCTCCCTCCCTCCCTCCCTTTCTCTCTCTCTCTCTCTTTCTCTCTCTCTTGGTAGCACTGAGTTTGGTGGAAACACTCTAGCTGTCCAGTTGTTGAGGAAGAGATGATGTCGCTGAGCTCCCATGAGTGCTTGGCGTGTTCCATGGAGCGTAAGATGGGATCTCTGTTATCTCAGCGTCGTTACAAATGGAATAATTGGTCATAAAAATTATGCAGCCTGTTGGAAAAGAAATAACACACGTGCTCATTATAGATTCCTGAGATAGCTTCTCCTTACTAAAATTTTATGTTTCTTCCATATACCAGCCATCACCAACATACACCCTGAACCTCCAAGTACCCCAAATTGGGACACCCTTAGAAAAAAAAGCCTAAGAAAGAATACAGGCCAAGGCCACAGGCTCATCACAAGTTTTACTCGACTGAAGCAACTCAATGTGACCTAAAAGTGAGTTCAGAAAAACGCCTACTTTTTCTCTCACCAGGAACTGCATGCATACCGTCTGAGCCAGACAGGTAGGGTTCCTCCACACTCCCTCCTCATCAGCCTCTGCTGGCACTCACATGAAGTAGACACAGAAAGGGGCACCTCTGCTGGCCTGCAGGGAGCCCTCAGCCAGGTGGGGAAAGCAAACATGTCGAGGGCCCAAGGACACCAAGTGCTCCAGCAGTGGTTGTAGAGTCAGCACTGGGATGACATATGAGAGTAAGACATCCTGGTGATGGATCGCACAACCAATCCCGTGCTAGCCCTAGATACGACACCCAGGACCAGGACCAGATAACAGCATGTGGTAAAATTCAAAGGGTTGCTCCGAAGGGCAGTAACTTTGGACATGACAAGAGACATGCGTGGGGTCTTTTGCTCAGACTGCAATATGTCAGGTCTCTGCTCTAGAGACCTCTCTTAGAACAAAAACACACCACTCCACCAACAGAGCCACAGACCCAGGGGACTAGTAAAACAAAGCAAAGACTCAAAGTAGTCTTTCCCATGAGTCTGGGCAAAGAGACATTTTATGTACACTATTTCCCCACACAACACACCAGCAGCCCTCTCCAGGTTGTCCCCAAACTACCTTGTTCTTCTGTATAACTCCCCCACATGTTAAAATAAAAATAAATAAATAAATAAATAAATAAATAAATAAATAAATAAATAAATAAAACTAAATAAGTAGATCTCGAGTCCTGGCATCCTTTTTTGAAGATGACAGAGGAGAGCCAGGCAGGAGCCTAAGAGTTCAAACTCCCACCACTAGCCTTTGCCTCAACGGGACACGGCTCTCTAATACCTGAGACTAGAGGAAGATGCCCGACTCCTACGGATCCCCAGAAAGAGAAAGAACAAAAAAAAAAAAAAATCAGGAAGGCTGGCTATGAGCCAAGAAGACTCAGACTGGCTCCAGGTTTTCCCAGCTGTGGACTCAACTTCTTGGAGTGAGAGCAAAGAGTGAGACGAGATGATTGCTATGTGAAGAACAGGTTTGACTCCCACACCCTGTCTCCACTCTCTGTGCCCCTCCTTGCTCCCTTTCAGTGGAGTGAGGAAGGAGAGAATTACTCGGGCTCCCCAGCCTTTCCCAGCTGCAGTCAGCCCTCCTACAAAGGATGAATCAGCACCAGCCGTGGAGACAGAAACCAGTCCCTTATTCTGAGAGCGAAGCCCTGCTGGAGGGATGGATCTGCTTTGTGACAAGTGCCTTAATTCTGGGAAGACATCATCAGCTAACCTCCAAGTGAATCTTAGGGACCTGTACCCCTCTCTGCTTCAGTAGGAGGCAGACAGTTGGGGATGCAACCTTCTCCCTAATGCAAGCCTCCTGCCTTGCAGGAGAATACAGACTCCTGAGCTTCCCACCATCCCAGAATCAACTTTCAGCTTTCTAGGCAATTCTCTCAGAACCCCAATGAATTCAAGGCATACAAAATACTCCTCTTTTCCTCCTCAACAATGTCCTTACCATTTGAATCTAGTCTAGAGGTGTTAATTTTTAGCTATAAACACCTGCAAAATAAATTACTTATTACCCTCTTATGGCAGCGATTCTTAGACCTTAACCTGTACACTATAATCTGGAGGTCTTGTTAAAAGGACGATTATTATTCAGTAAGTTGGGGTGGAGCCTGAGACTCTGCACTTGTGACAAGCTCCGAGTGGTACTAAAGTTGCCAGAACCCAGACCACAGTTTGAGCAATAAGGATCTAGAAAAGAGGACACTGAACTGAGGGTGCCTCTTGTCTGAAAAGGAAATAAGATAAAGAAAAACAAGAGCTGCTTGACAGCAATCTAACTAAATCCATGTGTATTCTGGGAGACAGCAAGGTCATACCATAGTAGCTGGGGTATTCGGGGACACCAGCGAGGGCAATCTTAAAGCAGGACAAGTTTGGAATGAGATATGAAGGTGAGGACCAACTGGACGGAGGAGAAAGTGAGGAGGGCCACACTTGAGGATAAGATGGAGAAAGATGACCCACATGAAGGCTAGGACTCAGAATCGCCTCACCCAGAGGAACTCTGAACCAAGAAGTGACAGAATGAGGCTACAGAGGCCAGTGAAGAGGATTCTGGGATTTATCAGAACTAGAGTTTCTGTGGTCAGGATGATGCTAAGAAGCTGAGTGAGACAGTAAAGGAAGGATGCCAAGATGGCAGCTGAGGGAGCTGGGAGTTAGTGTTTATTAAGTACAGACTTCCAGCTGGGGAAGATGAGAACATTCTGGGGATGGCTGTGAATGCACTTGATGTCACTGAACTGCACACCTAAATGCTGGTTAAAATGGCATGTTTCACAGTGTGTCTGTCTTACCACAAAAATATTATCGTAAAGGCAGGAGCCATTGAAAAACGGCACCGCCGTATAAAAGGGCTAAAATCCAAGCCCATTTTAATGCCGAGGACATGGTTTTTAAAGGTGAGCCTCTTGAGGCAAAAATAAACCCTGGAGCCTCCTCTTAATCCCTGGTGATGTTGTTCATCCTCTTAAGGATGGGGGGACATTATAAATTGGTTTCTGTTGTGCCTTTGAGCCCCACCAGTACATACTGAGTCATTAGCCCAGCTCTGCAAATACCAAGCATGAGTCTCCTCACTCAGCAGACTGTACATGAAAGAACTGGCCGGCGACAGAGAAAAGCAAGCTCTTAAAATGCCAGGCTCCAAGTCCTTGGGAACATGGCTTCCATAAGGACATTCAGGAGACCCAGGGTTGAGCTGAAATAGTAAAAATAAATAAATAAACTGTGAAAAGAACTTACTGACCACCAAAGCTGGAAACATACTCAAGAATAAAATAGTAAACCCTAAGAAGGCAAAGAAGATGGGCCTCGGTTCTATTCTGAGTTGGAGTGAGGCATACAAACACAGAGAAAAGGGGGTGGAGAATGAGAAGATGCATGATTGGGAAGAGAAAGGAGTGAACACAATGGAAAGCCTGGGGCTGGATATGTAGCTCAGTTAATAGAACACTTGCCCAGCATGCATAAAGCCCTGGGCTCAGTCCCTAACACCATATCAAACTGTTTGTGGTGGCAAACACCTGTAATGTCAGCACTGAGGAGGTGGAGTAGGAGGATCAGAAGTTCAAGGTCATCCTTTACTATGAAGCAAGTTTGAGGCTGGCCTGAAATTGAAAAAAAAAAATGTATAGCAATGTGATGTATAAAAGTTTCTACCAAGCCCAGGCTACAAAGAAATGGTCTTGCTTTAAAGGATGAGCCCCAAACTAGATATCTGGAAGAAATCCCTGACAATGTTACAAAGCACTCAGAAAGAGTTTGGGAAAGCAAAGACTTTAGGCAGTCAGGAGGCAGATATAGGACAGAGGGAACTCTGGACAGTCAGCCGGCTGTTCTGACACCCATTGTGTGGATACATCAGATGGAGGAAGCAGGAGTGAGACCCTGATGCAGTCCAGCCATCAGGGTTTGCTCAGCCAGCCAGGACTCCAGACTGCCAGGAGGAGGCTAGCCTTTCATCCTTGGATCCGAGAATGTTCCTGGTCCTTGGGCAGCATCTGCCTACTCTCTGCCTCCACCCTCTGTAGCTAATGGAGTGAATCCAGACAGCTGCTCTCAAGTTGTTACTAGGAATAGGGCTTGATGACATTTTCTGACTCAGGGAGCCTTGTTAGACTTAATTTCAATTGGAAATCCATCATCCTGGATCAAGCACCACTACCGCTCTCCCATGTAATCCCCAGGCTCCTCCCGGATCATCACGGCAATGCCTCAGACTCTAAGGATGATGCTCTGTAATGGAGGAGGTTGTCCTGTGGCTTGTATTTTCATACCTAGGTAGGTAAAAGATCCTTTCTCTTACCTCAATCTATTATCACAGTGAAGGCCATTTGTTTGTGCCAAGAAGAATGTGTAAAGGGACATGGATCCATTGGCTATTGCAATCAATAAATCACTTTATGTGTATAACAGATGAGGTGAGACTAAAGATTGAGGCAACTCAGAATTACCTAAAATTATCTTTTGAACTTTTCTGTTCATAGCAGAAAATCTCTTCTTCATTTTTAATATTATATATATATACATATATTTGTATATATATATATATACACATACATACATACATATATTTGTATATAAGTGGATGAGCACACTCATGCCATGGAGTGCATGTGGAGGTTAGAAGAAAACTTGTACGAGTCAGTTCTCTCCACCATGTGAGTCAAGGAATTGAACTCCATCAGAATTGGCTACCAGCACGTTTACCCACTGAGACATCTTGCCATCCCTGTCCATCACTTCTAAAGTGAAAAACTGAGAGGGGAGTCTTATCTAACATTCTCAACATTTTTATATGACCATTACGCCAATGATTTCAATCGCTCTTCACAAGCAACCCAAAAAATGGGGAAAGTGGCCATTAAAAGCAGGCTTATTTTCTAAGAAAGAAAGAAAGGGGTCTTGTGAGCAAACTAAGCCCAATGAATGACTTTGACTAAGGTTAGACACTGAGAAGAACCTAACTGTAGGCAGGGATTATAGAACACTAACTTATTACAGTTGAGAGGCTTCGGAGAAAGGTCAAGGGGTTTCATGAGTCATATTGTGTAAGAATTGCTCTGCGACTTTCATGCTTCCACTATAAGACCCTCCGCTTCTTCAAAGGGCCGAGTCTTGAACTGAGAGCTAACCAGGGGGTCTGGCATTAAATGGGTGCTCAATGAATGTATTATGAAAGAAAGGAGAAGGTAGGAAGAATAGGAGGGATAGCAAGGAATAGGTAGGAGAAATAGTAGGGAAATACGCAAAGGCTGAGAAGAAACTGGAAGACCCTAGAAAGGGCACAGAGGCTGCAGTCAGCAGGAGGAAGGACAGGCCCTGGGGAGGGGCCATCTAATGGACCCAGAACAGAGGCAGCGCCACAGAGAGGAAAGAATGCTGTTGGGAAATTTCTGTGTGAGAGGCACCGGCTTGGTCTCAGCCCTTGGTGCCGCTGGTCAGAAAAGGCAACTCCTCAGGGTCCTGTAAGTCAGGGGCTTCATCAAGTGCTGAGGCCACGGAGCAGAGAAGAGCTTAGCACAACACAGACAAAAAGGAGACAGATATTTGTTCAAAAAACATCCTGCAGCCAATCCCTGTGGACGGAGGAGCCAGCTTTGGCAGCTGCTCTGCTCTGAAGTCACTAGACAAGCCAGGCCGGTGGAAGGAATTTGGGGAGCACATAGGAGCCACTGTGCCTAAGACATGATCTCATTGTGCTAGGTATCTGGGTACCCACCTCAACTTGGAGCCAGTTACAAAGGGGACGGGACTAGGGTGAAAGTCAGGGTATTCCGGAACAGGAGGCAGGTTAAATCCTTCATGTTCTATATGGGTTTTGTTTGTCATCCAAGCATTGTAGCTGTCACAGGGAAAATAGGTAGAATTGGACAGCCAGGATTTTTATACTACCCCATTTTCATTTGTTGGATACTGTAGCTCTGGTAGCAATGGCTCCTTACTGGCCTTTCTAAGCACTTGCCATCTCAGCCTCTTCTGGCCTGACTTGGGACCCTATGCCCAACAACAAGCAGATAGTACAGAGCCCCTGGGAAGCCAGAGAGGAGTTGGGGGTACTTAGCTAGCATGCATGGAGCCCTAAGTTTGATTCCAAGTACTAATCAGGCACACACCTGTAAACCCAACTCGTGGGAGGTGGAAGCAAGAGGGTCAGAAGTTCAAGGTCATTCTCAGCTAAAGAGAGCATTCAAGTGAGCCTAGGCTATAAGAAATCCTGTTTCAGGGGGAGAAAAAAGGCTGGAGAGACTCCATATAAGGGTCAATTGTCCCTACGTCTTCAAAGGAAATTTTAAGGAAGGCCACTGAACCATGGAAACCCAAACTTGGTCTATCTGCCTCTACTTGGGTGAGGATGTCATAGGTGGAGGTACTTTCTGGAGCCAAGATAATCCCTCTGTAAGAAGGGTTTCTGGTTTCTGCTGCTGCAGTACACCCAAAAACCTCTTGAATATACAACCAAAGACATCAAAGGAGATAACTCAATTAACCTGGGAGCTTAGAGACTGTGGCCTGTTAAAGACCCCTACCCTCACCAACCTCCCCACTCAACCCCAATATTGATTGAGTTGAAGAGATGAAAAGGTAGTATTTCTCTATTATAGCTCCCCCTTCCACACTGTAGAAGTCAGGAGGCTAGAAACAAAGATTTCGGCTATCACCATGGAAACCGGCAGTTTCTATGGCTCCCCTGCAAACACGCTCCCCCATCAACTCTTTCCCTCCCAAATCTAAGTCATTTCAGCTCCTAAGATTTCCCTTTCTGACCAATCCAACCATCTATTCAGAACAAAAGACAGAAGAATAGCTAGGCTTGGCTTGGGGGTGTTTATGCCCCAGGGTTTCTTCCCAGATCACTGCATCACTGTTCTTCTTACACAGGTACATCTAGCCCCCACGACCCCACTTCACCATCAACCTCACCATCCCTCCAATCCTCTCTCCCTATATTCACCCACCTTCCCAGCCAGAACTCCTAGTCGGTTGGTACTCAAATGCAGATACTTTAGTTTAGAGATAACGCAGTTCAAACACCCCAAGCCCCCAGACCACCATCCTCTGAGTCCAGGTACCTGCATCCCATTTAGATCTGCTCTTCAGAACACCTGTGAACAGACCCACTGGTTCTCATTCCCCCCCAGCTATTCTCCATTCCTACTGGTCTCCAACTCACGGTTCCCCTCACCTAACCTTCCCCCATGTCCTCAGGCACCCATTTACCAAAAGGAGTCATAGAAAATGTCAGTAATTTTCTACATAGTCCCCTTTCATTCCTCAGTCTTAAATCAATTTCTGAACTGGATGCTTGACCACCTGGGTCCCTTGAGTGAACAGAGAGAAAAGGGACATCTTTCTAAGTGCTCTCTGCTCCTAATGTTGGTCCCATCCTGGTCCCCACTGGGGGCTGTGAGACTTAATTAGCCTTTCCTGATCATTCTGAGATTCTTGAGAAAGGCTCCAAAGACTGTTCTGTGCTGGGAGGGATTTTATCGGCGTCTTTTACAGCTTTGTTTGTTCTTCAATTTCTCTAGCTCGGACTCTTTAGCAGAGTCTCTCCAGTCATAAAACAACCTCAAAAGGACAAGCTGACACTGAGCTAGAACTACCTTGATGCCTGCTCCTCACCCCGCCCGTGATCAGGAAGGCGCCCTGAGTCCCTGTGCTCGCCCCTTCGACCTCCCCCACCCATCCACCCACCAAACACCCACCCCCAAACACGGCATTCTCCTGCCCCCACATCTGGGAAAATGGAAGCAGAAGATGACTCAGGGGGTCAGGGAGGATCAAGGCTTGTTTAGGGCTTTGAGATCTCTGGATGAAAAGTCAGAAGGGTGGGGAGTTATGAAAAAGACAAGGGAAGCGTCCGGGGCTCAGGAACAAATCACTGTCCACTCCACCCACCCACTTCCCAGACTGAGTCTCTTAAGTCTTTCACAAATGGGCGCAAAACAGATTTGCATTGAGGCGTGAGCCCTTCAAACTCACCCGAGCAAAACTGCCCAAACATTTGCGTCTTCTCAAAAGAGCTGAAAATCAAAATACAAACAGGCATCTAAAATGGCCTCCATCTGTTTCAGCTGGATGACCTAAAATTTTCCATGAAAACACAGCCTATTATTTTTTTTTCTGGTCAAAATCTGGGCTCCAGTAAGAGAGAGGAAGATTGCAGAGGACTGAACACAGTTTATGGGGAGTTATTTACTCTCCCACGTCAAGAACAAGACAAGTGAAGACCAGAAGCTATGAAAGGTGGTCTCTTATGTGCCCCCCCCCCCCCCCCCCCCCCCGGCTCTCTTTCTTGGTGCTTTCTCAATTACTTCGCCCATTTTCACAGCTGCAGTTGTTACATCTCTGTGGATGCATTCCGGATCTGTCCTTCTCCAAAGCATGACAAACCTTTCTAGGGCAAACTCTTCCAGCCCTTTGTACCAACTAATTCAAAAAATATAAAGCATATGTCCCAGGCTGGACATGGCAGCACACACCTTTAATCCCAGCACATCAGAGGCGAAAGCAGGTGGATCTCTTTGAGTTCAAGGTCAGCCAGTTCTTCTGAATAGTGAGTTCCAGATAAACCAGGGCTACACAGTGAAGCCTTGTCTAAACACACACACACACACACACACTAAACAGATGAACAAAAAAACCCACGTTCCCTTCAAGAACCAGGCTCCTAACTTGCTCTTTCCCTGCTACAGACAACCTCTTTTCCACAAATTGTCGATGCTGTGATTCACCTTCTATCTCCATCGTAACCGCACTCCCCACCCTAACCCCATCAGAGTCCACCACGATTACACTCTGCTCATGCTTTCACAGTGCTAGCACCTCCATCCAGTCATTTCCATCCCCATGCCATTGTTTCAGCTCAGTCTTTTGCATCTCTCATACAATGGCTCTATAAATGATCACCTGGCCCTTTGTCTCCTTTCCAAGCTATCAGCCCACAGCCTCCAGAAGAATCTCATTTGGACAGTTCTGGTTGTCATTTCAACCTCTCCAGTGGAGCCTAAGGTTCTATTTCTTGTTTCGTTTCATTTCGTGTGTGTGTGTGTGTGTGTGTGTGTGTGTGTGTGTGTGTGTGTGTTTCACACTGTAGCCCAAGCTGTAACTTCTTATTATAGAGCAGGCTGACATCGAACCTGCAACAATCCTCCTGCCTCTACCTCCCACAAGCTGGTATCTTAGGTGTACACCTCCACAAAGAATCTACATTTCTTTTTTAAAGAGAGAATCTCACTCTGCAGACCTGAGTGGCCTCAGATCTATAGCAATCCTCCTGCCTCAGCTTCTCAAGACTAAACATCTGCTTATCATATTTGACAGGCTGAAAAGTCAAAGGGGAATAGGTATCATTCATGACCCTAAAAAGTTCTGTGGAAAGTACAGAGTGTCTTGTGCTTACTTGAGTCCATAGTTATATCCTGTCCTAGTTAGTGTCTGTTGCTGTGATAAACACCAGGACCAAAAGCAACTTGGGAGGAGAGGGTTTATTCCACATCACAGTCCATCATGGAGGGAAGTCAGGGAAGGAGCTCAAGGCAGGAACCTGGAGGCTGGCACTGAAGCAGAGGCCATGGATGAATGCTGCTCACTGGCTTGCTCCCCATGGCTTGCTCAGCCTGCTTTCTTACCCTACCCAGGACCAATCTGCCTGGAAGCGGCACCACCCATATTGAGCTGGGCCTTCCCACAACAATCATCAACTAAAAAATTAAATTAAATTTAAAAAAATACCCCACAGACTTACCCACAGGCGAGTCTGACAGAGGCATTTTCTCCTTTGTGGCTCCCTCTTCCCAAACGACCCTAGCTTGTGTCAAGTTGACAAAAAAAAAAAAAAAAAAAAAAAAAACCAGCCCATATGTCGTTCCATTCACATAGAATGTTCTAGTCTTAATTTTTCCCTTAAAATTTTGTCCTTCCATGAGGTTTTCACCACCATCCCACCCTAATTCTCCCTCCTTTCTCGGAATTCCAATAGTGCTTGGGGACGGAGACCTGAGCAGCAGCAGACTGAGGATCCAGGAAAGCCCATCACGTCTACATTTATTCAAAAATGGGTCAAGGGTCATCCAACCCGGAAGGAAAGGAATCTGAAAGGCTCCTTTCCAGTTCCCTTTGTTCAGGGATAGATCCAGGGAAGGGTGTGAGAAACAGGCAAAAGAGGAGGAAAGAAGCCCGGAGTCCTTCCCCAGTGGCGTCGTCCTCGCCCAGGACGGCAGCCACCGGCAGCACGGAGGTCTGCCTGGGATGCAGGAGCTCCAACGGCGGCGGCAGCGGGCGAAGGGGAAAGGGAGGGATGAGTCAGCCCAGCTGAAAACAGAGGGTTTTGTTCAAAGGAGCAAAGTCTGTGATGCAAGCTCTGAAGAACAATGTGCTCCCTGTCTCCTCACCCCCTCCCCACCCAGGTGTCCTCCACCTCCCTCTTCCCCCCACACCCTAGACAGGTCATTGACCAGGTCTCTGGTCAGATTCAAGACAGAAGGAACTCCTGGGAGCCTCTGTTTTCCACCTCGCCATTTTCCACTGAACAACAACCTTCACCGTGACCCTGACCTTCCCTTTCTCAGGGGCCAGCAGAGACTCACTCACTATTATTCCTAGTGGCGAATCATGATTCCTGTGCATAAGCTTTAGAGCTCAGGCTTCACGCAGTGGCTCTACAATGGTCACTCCACTGGAGGCTAAGGAAGCCTGCTCCTATTGTGCCGCCAGCGCACGGACTTCTGCTGGGCACGTCCTTATCCATTTAGTTTTTCCCTTCTGTCCCTTCCAGTTTTTTAAAGCCCAGACCAGCAGTTTCCTCCTCCAGGAAGGCTTCCCTAATCAAGCCACTTTTCCAGGCCCTCGCGTATACTATAGGCCTCTCCAGCTTGCCGCCTCATTTGTATGCATTTCTCAAGCTCTGACTTGTGCAGCCGGCCGCCTTCTTACACCAAGGGCTCCTCCTCCCCCTCAATAATATTTTGAGTGTTTTATGTTTGGAATGAAACATAAAAAGAGTCTGAGTTACAGAATGATGAAAAATAGAGTGGATAAGTCAGGGGGGGAATAGGTGGGCAGTGACGGGAGAAGACCACAAAGACGGGATTGCGGAATGTGGCTTTGATAGAAGAGGCACCTGGACATAAGGGCACAGTCATAAGCTTTTCTTCCCTTGTCTGTCTGTACACACTGGGCTGGGTATCATACAGAGAAATTACACATAGTCTTCCTATACTTTAAAGTCTCATAATGTCATCACACTGATATAATAAATAAGAGACAAAGGAGCAAACAGGGGAAAATCAGATTATAGGTTGAGATATTAAATAATAATATCCCACAGAAGTCAGAAGTATTATTAAGAATGGAGACTAAGATAAGTGCAAAATGAGAGGGAAGGGTGGAACCTGACATATGAGGGTGGGGAGGGGTTAGCAACCAGGGACCAGATCTGAGCCCCGTCAGGATGAGACCCAGGAAGACACTGGTACTCCTCTACTCCAGAAAGCCATGCTTTAAACAAAGGAGCTTCTGGCATGCTTTGAACGACAGGAAAGAGATACCTTGTCGACAGCCGATGCCCTGCTTGAGAGAAAGCAAAAAGTAGAAGGGATTTTAGCACATGAGCCAGAGTCAATGACAGCAGTGCGTTCCTCCAGCCTCCAACTCTCACCCTAGGCTCACACAGCTCCCTGGAACAGCACTGTTCAAAGTCACATCTCCCACCCCGTGATCCTTCCTCTCCGTCCTAGAGGGCAGAACTTCAAACTCTGAACAACCACCTCCTTATGAAAACCCTTCACAATGGTGTCAGTGTGACTGTCAAAGAACACATGGATTTGACCTCACTTGGACTTCTATTCACTGGCTGCTCATACAACTTACACCTTGAATCAGAGGTAGACAGGGTGACCCCCAACTGGTGCTCCAGAACACTAAGGAATGATGGCTGGACAATTACTTAAGTGTCTTAATTTCAACAAAATGGGGTAAGTTTGATAGCATAAATGACTTCCTGCAATTGTAAACGGGAAGATATCAAGAATAAAATACACTAGCAATCATAGAATTGATCCATAGAGTCTCAGGCCAGCAACGACCTCCAAAATATCCTTTCCTTCATTCCAGCTTCTAAGAAAGCAAGGAAAGTAGTACTTACTATATCCCCACTATGTGTGAGTAGAAGCTAGTTACATGTACAGAGTCTCATTTATCTAAGCCATGCTCCAGCCCTCCCCTTTCAGGAGTATTGCTTATGCTTTCGTTTTTTTTTTAACACCGCAGAGAAGATAACTTACATGTTTTATATCATGTCTTCCTATATCCATTGTTAGGGGTTTTTTGTTTGTTTTTATTAAAGATACTACTTTATGGTGCAATTCAAGCCCCTGTTCAAAGTGCATTCCATAATCCTTGCCTTGCCCTTCTCCCCTCCTTCATGCTAGCACCCCTGCACACCTCTCATATACATTTTTCATGTCCAGATGTTCCTTCCTTTTCCATTCCAAAGGTAAATACCACTCCTCACACACACACACACACACACACACACTATACACACACACACACACACTATACACACACACCATACACACACACACCATACACACACACACCATACACACACACACACCCCATACACACACACTCATACACTTATACACACACACTCACACACACATACCCCATACACACACACTCACATACTTACACACACACACACACACACACACAGAGTAAAAGGTGGGTGGAAAAAAAGAGGATGGTAGTTAACACAGAGGCCTGAACCTGGAGAAACTAAGGAGGGCAGTAAGAGAGAGCTGCCGGCCCTCTGTCAAGGTGGCTTTGCCTGCAGCTTTTATTATGCATCGATTTTCTTATCCATCTTCTTTAGAGCCTCTTAGATCTTCAGGCTGCGGCTGTTTCTCCAAATTGTCATTCACTCCAAGCTCTCTAGCTCCTTGCAGCAGCAATGGGAGGGAGACTGGGGGTGGGAGGAAAGAAGGAGAGAGAAGGCAGTCAAGAGAGGTGAATGCAGGTTGCTAAGTAACCGTTGCCAAGGAGCCAGTACCAAGGAGCATCCCAAGCTGCCTGCTTATTCCAACCTCCCCCCTTCCACATCCTCCCCTCACTTAGGTTCTCTCAGGTCTATAAAGCAGCCTGATTCTATCACCTTCACCAGCTGCAAAAGCTTCTCCCCCAACTCTTCAGGTGGAGGCTGCAAATCCTCGAGCTTGTGAGATAGATTCCTAGGCCCAGTCTAGTTGTCATGGGCACCTGTGTGCAAACGTGTCAGTTAAAAAGAATGCCCCAAATTTATTTAATTAGAAAAAAAATACCCCACCTGAATTTTGCAGGATTTTTTTTGTTTAGTTTTTTGTTTGTTTGTTTAGGTTTTTTTGAACTAATATGCTCAGAAGTGAGCCGTGGAGACCAGACAGAATCCATCTCTCATCACCCTGAGACAATTCAAATATCCTTAGAAAAGCTTCACTATTTGGTCTGAAAGGTTGTGAAGTCCAAGAACACAAGCTATATCCTGCTCCAAGATCCATTCCAAGCTGAAGTGACATTTAGGTTCTCTAAAATTTGGGTAATTAATTAGGATCATGCACGACTGCCTTCTCGATTACTGTAGACTCCAGAAAGTACTGTGTGACATTTCATAACAAATTTAACTTATCCTTCCTGTTTAATTCAAATAAATATTAGAAGATCCTATCCCTTCAGGGTTGTCAAACAAGGATCAAGACAGAAAAAAAGAATTAGTTTGGGTAGGAAGAGTGCCCCTGAGCTAATCCAATCTAGAACTGAAATTTTGCCACAGACAATCCAGAAAGCATATACTGAGTCTTCTGCCAATAAATCCCCACAGTTATCACCTCTGTGTAGTGATCATGGGTTACCCTGAGATCTCACAAACCTCAGATTCTAAACTGACCAAGGACATTCACTTCACTAAACCCGTGGTTCCTATAAGCCACATAGTGCTCTCAACCTAGAAAAGGAGTCTTCGCTTTGCTTGAAAGGTTCCAGCCATCCTCCTAACCACTACTGAGAAAAACAGCTGTGCTCTCTGTTCTAGTGTGCCTTTCAGTGCTGTGCTAACACACACACATATATATATACATACACATATATATATACATACTTATATACACATATATATACACACATATACATATACACACATATACACATATATACACATACACACATATGTATATACACACACACACACACACACACACACATATATATATATAGGCAGACTGTGCTGGTGCATGCCTGCAATCCCAGCACTCTGGAGGTAGAGGCAGGTGGATCTCTGTGAGTTCAAGTCCAGCCTGGTCTATATAACTAGTTCCAGGACAGCTGGGGCTACACACAGAAACCCTGGTGAGAGAGAGAGAGAGAGAGAGAGAGAGAGAGAGAGAGAGAGAGAGAGAGAGAGAGAGAGATTTTCCCAAATAAACCTAAAGATGTCTGTCTATGCTCATGCTGAGAAAGCAGGAATAGAGCTTCACTTCTTCAAGCTTCAGTCTCTCTCTGTAGGAGAACAACACTCCGTTCCACAGACCTCCTGAAGAATTATAAAAGGTAGAGTAGTTGACCTGGAGTACTCAGTAAACAGCAGGTGCCAGCGTTTTCAGCATCATGGTTATCCTTGGTCTATTAGAACTGGGTAAAGAGGAACTTGGGAAATGGCTTAGCTGGTGTAGTGCTTTTCATACAATCATAAGGGTTTGAATTCAGATCTCCAGCACCTGAGTAAAATGGCGGGTGCACTGGTGTGCACCTGTAACACCAGCTCTGGGGAAGCAAAGATAGAAGGCTCCCTAGGGCTTGCTGGCCAGCCAATCCAGCAGAATTTGTGAGTTCCAGGTTCAGTGACGGATCCTCTCTCACATACGGCAGAGAGGTATTGTGAAGATACTCAAGGTCAGCTAACCTCTACACACATATGTTCTCGTTCTCTTTCTCTCTTTCTCTCTCTCTCTCTCTCTCTCTCTCTCTCTCTCTCTCTCTCTCTCTCTCTCTCTCAGACAAATGAAAATCAGGAAGCCACTCCCAAGAGAACTCCTTGTTTCTGTAGCCATTCAACTTCCAATTATCAATGAAGTGAAGCCAAGACACTAAGTCTCTGTCTAAGGAATAATGTGACCCCAGGAAGGTAACTTCCACTGAGGCTAGGAAAGAGCCAGAGTCCAGGCATTACTTTGTCCTGTCTACCTCCTTACAGATTATCCATTATATCATAATCCCAGAAAAAAAGAAAAAGGAGGAGGAGGAGGAGGAGGAGGAGGAGGAGGAGGAGGAGGAGGAGGAGAAGAAGAAGAAGAAGAAGAAGAAGAAGAAGAAGAAGAAGAAGAAGAAGAAGAAGAAGAAGGAGAAGAAGAAAGGATGGGCTTAAAAAGCCAAAACACTGCTCTATAAACCCAAGGAATTCCTTTTCCCCTGACCCCTTAACTTAACCATATCTAAGTCTCAGACACCTTCACCTCAGCATCTCAGACCACCCATGAAAGTCCTTCCTGAGCCTAACCACATGACTTTTGCTTTACCTAATTTATACTCTCTCACTCGTGTTGTCTCTAAAAGCCTTCCTTTGTACCTCTTCAAAATCATTGATAATGGCTGAAAAAGGAACGTAAGTGAGAATGAAAAGAGATAAGAAGAGCCTGGTAGATGGGGTGGGGGTTAGGCCGGCTTAGAGGACAAGCAGGTGAGGACAGGAGCATTTGTGGAGTAAGAATTACAAAACAAAATCAGCCAAAATTGGAGTGAATAAACTATATAGGACATTTTCTCCAATTCCTCAGAAAGAAATCAACGTGATGAGGAGAAGAAGGAAGAGCAGAGAGAGATGGCAGTGTGGACCAGCAGACCTACAGGAAAGCACAGCATGATGCTGCTCTGCTATTTGTGGGCCATCAAGATGTCCCTACCTGAGACACCCCACAGGGGTGGATACTCAAGGGTAGCTTGACAAGGTAAGCCTATAAGATGTGGCATAGAGAATTAGGGAAGGTGCTGGAGAAATGGATCAGCAACTAAAGAGCACTTACTGCTCTTTTAGAAGACTGGAATCTGTTCCCAGCATCAACATGGCAGTTCACAACCCTCTGTAACTCCAGTTCTAGGGGATCTGACACCCTCTTCTGACCTCCTCAGGCACTGTGTGCACACAGTGCACTTACATACGTGCAGGCAAAACATCTGTGCAAATGAAATGAAAACAAATAGATCTTTTTAAAAAAATAAGGAAGTTACTAGTGCCCCTGCCATTTGGAAATGGTTGGGAAAGGATAAGGTACGAAAAGGCAGTCAGCACAGACAGTGAGTTTTCCTAAATTCTCCCCCTGTCCAAGGAACCCAAAAGGAGTAATTTCTCTCTAGTGCCTATCCTCTCTTCCTCCTCCTCCTTCCATCTTCTCAACGTAAGCCCTTGAGAAAGTTTGCCATATTCACCACACTAATGCCAACCCTGGCACCAGAACTTGCCCTGGCCTATCCCATCTGCCTGGAAAGAGAACCAGAACATTGAGGATAGACCCAGAACTGACTTCCACCTAAGGAACAATGATGTTAGTGCATCTCAGAAGCGCCTAGGTCTGTCCCTGCTGAACCTGGACTTCTTGGACTTGACAGTCAGCTGGACCATTCTCCTGCCTATGTATGGTCTTACTTTGTTTTTTGATTTCCCTTTCAAGCAATGTTATTTTTACTTTTTATTTCTTTTTATTTGTTATTCAGTGTGTGTGTGTGTGTGTGTGTGTGTGTGTGTGTGTGTGTGTGTGTGTAGGTGTAGGTGTGAGAACTTGTGAGCATGCTTGCAGAGAGGCAAAAAGGAGGATGTCAGATATCCTGCTCTGTCACTTTCCACCTTATTCTTTTGAGACAGGATCTCTTCCTGAACCTTGAGTCGGGCTGCACAGCAACCCTCCCATCTCTATGTCCACAGATAGCAAGGCAGCGTCTGTATTGGGAAACAGGCGTGCACATGGCCACACCCAGCTTGTTACATGGGCTCTGGCATCCAACCTCAGGTCCTCACGCTTGCACAGCAAGTGCTGTGGTCCACTGAGCCGTCGCTTGAACCTCGGCAATGTTACTTTCTATTGTACGCTAATTAACATGCACCCACAGCATGAAGCTCCTTAAGAAGGTTCAAAGCCAGCTTCAGGCCCTAATCTCAGCTTCCAGCCCAGTGCAGACACAAGGAATGCAACTGCTCCTGCATGCTTCTGCTTTTAGTTGCAATGTGTGGCTCAGCTTAGACAAGAATTCGTCTGTCTGACTTTAAAGGTTTGATAAGCACCACTCAGGTGCTAGTCCATCTCTGGCCATCAGATGTCTTTCCTGTGTATGCCCCTATTGAAACAATTATTGTTCTATCTTCTACAACAAACACCTCTTCAAAACTAGACATGTGGGTCCTTCATGTCTGGACTGTGGTATAAAGAGATAGGGTTTCTGTTAAGCAGAAGAACAGCCTCTTTCCTTATTAAGGTCAACTCTTGCAGAGAAGCTGGTCCCAATGGAGTGAGATGGATAAGGAGAAGTGAGGACTATGGCATCAATTAGGCAGATTTGCATTAACTGAAATAACACGCACTCAGTGATACAAAGTGTCCACATCCTCTGTGAGAAGAGGAACCATTAACCTGAGCTAAAAACCAAAGTGGGTTACCTCAGTGGGAAGCAAGGGTTAAGGATGGTATCTGTCCTCTGGAAGAGACATGAGCTAATGCTACCAACACCTGTACTAAGAGGGTACAAGCAGGACAGTCGTCAGGGGTAAGCCCCAAGAATGGAAAAACATGAAGCTGCTGGGAAACGGGCAGATTAAATGCTTCTCACAATCCTGGGTGTCTCTAACTACAGCAGAGATCTAGGAATGTCCAGGGGGGGTCGCTAAAGTCATGCAGGAGACATCTTTCCCCCTCTAAAGCCTGAAGGCCCCACCCCGCACCCTGAAGAAGTACAGAACCCAGAACCTACTGAGCTGAGAATGGAGGAAAAAGGGGAGTCTCTGTGAAAGCAATCTGCCTCTCTGCCTATCTCCGTCTCACCTCTCCCCTGCTTCTCACATCCAGGGGCATTATTCCAGAGGCCTCTACCTTGATCTGTCTCCAAGTCTCTAGCAAGATCAAAGCTCTTAACACCTGTTTTGCTTGCTAACTGCTAGGCTAAAGAAGAGGAGGCAGGGTCCATCCTGAGGCAAGGGGAGGGCCCTGACTTCCACCCTTCTTCCCAAAGCCGAAAACAGTTTGGGAGGCTGGACAAAGGAAGGCGCCAAACCAGGGTTGAGTTGGCAAACGCCCCCTGGTGGAGAGGCTGTTAGTCTCCTACTATTGATCTCACATTGTTATCCGAGTTACAAATGGAATTAACTCATAACCACAGTAGGATAAATATATTACAGTGACCAGAAAAATCTCTCCCCCACCTCCTTAAGACAGCTTCCTATTACTCTCTGGTACAAGATTTATCTATTGTGGTCAGATATGTGTCACAATTTGTAATTATTTGGTTGCTTGTTCCCTGGTTTATTTTCTATCTCCCATTATAAAAAAAACATATTTGAATAAAAGGAAAAGCCAATGATTAATAAAATATAATGGAACAAACCTACCATGGGATAAAAATTCCTGTTATCCTGTCCAGATGTTATTAGCAGAGTCACAACACCCCTACCTGCCTCCACACCTGCCTTTCCCTACAACTAACTGTACACCACTCAGTAAACTTAATAATTCTCCAGCTCTGTGTAAGCACTATGTAGAGAACATAAAAATAAACAAGGGCCTGGGCTCCAGCTCAGAGAAGAGTGCTTGCCCAGCACACATAGATTCCCAGAACTGCTAAAATAAATAAACAGCCCAGGTATAGCAAGACTGCCGCAGACAAGGACTTCAGGAATTCAAAGGGCTGAGCTTGAGCAAGGCAGCCATGATGATAAGGTTCCAGGAGGCTGAATAGGACGTTCCAGGGGAGACACAGTTACAGGAAAGAGCTCTTGATTCGGAGGCATCCTCTGACATTGAACTTTCCTTGAAATGCAAACCCCATAAGGCTCAAGCTAACGCTGCAAGAATATGTGTGGGGCTTTGGAGAGCGGGGACAAGGACAAAGACCCAAGTCTAGGCTCTTGTCCCTACCTCATTTCTGGAATATGCAGGGTTCAGACAGGGCAGGGTGCCCATTAAGTCCCATCTACTTGTCTCTCCTCCCCCCCCCACTGAGTTCTTTATTAACAATGAAATGATTTCTTAATCTCATTACTGAGAAACGTGCCAAGCACAGAAAAGCATATGCGACACAAATTAAGTTGGGTAATTTGCATACCTGAGCAAAGAGTTAAAACCCCTCCTCCTTCCTTCTCCAGAGTCAATTTTCCTTGATCTTCTGACATCCTATGTCAATAAATATCTATATTTCCTCATGCCCAGGACAGAAGATGCTGTTAAATGTCAAATGTAAAGTAAAGTTTGTCATAAAAATCCCTCATAAAAAAAAAAAAAAAATCTCCCAACTACCTCCACTGGAAGATGGAGGGGAGGGTCCTCTGTTGGGTCTGCCTTCTGATAAAGTCTGGGTCACCCAGCACCCTGCTTCCAGGGAGCATCTCAGATGACCTTTTTGTAAAGTTCCTAGGGAAGCGCACTGACATTCAGCTCCTCTACCACCTTGCAGATGCCCAGGCTGGATTTTTTTTTTTTTTTTTTTTTAATGAAACAAACCAATGTTTAAACAACATTCTCAGTCTCAAGTCTAGATGTCTTAATTAATGGATTTTTGAGTTCTCCTTTTCTGGAATAACCAAAATACAGCCTCCCACGTGGAAGGGGCGCAGGGAAGGAAATGAGTGGTTTCTTTGAGCACCTTCGCAAGGGCCCCAGGAGAGCGAGCGGTGGGCAGACAAGGGCGACTGTGTAGTGGGCTAGCAACGGAAGGACAAGAGAGCACTGCCTCTCGGCTGCTGTTTCTCTTTCTCCGCAGACCTCCTCTGATTATAGCAGATTTATAGGGGCCCCAAAGCAGCCCAGCATCTTAGCCATAAACTTCCCAGAAAGAAAACTCATTGAGGTTCCCTCGAGAGGGGATGAAAAATAAATATCAGGGTTTGGTACAAACACATCAGCCAAGACCAGAGGTGGAAGGGAGCCAGTTCCCTATAGCTGGTTTAGCTCACTCAGGATTTGTACACACACCATACACAGAAAGTCTAGCAAACACACTCTTGTTTATAGACCTACTGAAATAAACACACCCAACTCCTGGGTACATATTTCCAGTCAAATGCAAACATGCATGCCCACACTACGTTCATACATACATGACTTCCAGTGTGTAGCTTTATCCCCGACCCTTCCCCCTTCCTAGGTTACTGACTACAGGGTGGGGCACAGTGAAGGGGAATGAGAGAATGTCTGAGTAAAAGCTTGCATGTGCCACTGTATCTCTGACTACATACCAAAAAACAAACAAAAAAAAATTTCATTATTCACTATTTGGAATGGCACACGGTCTTTTAATACACCAGTGCTCTTTGGTGATCGACTATGTGGTGCCGAGAGGCTCCTCTGTGCGGGTTTTTTTTTAGCTCGGAGGCCAGCAGCATGAGCTTTGCTCACATGGAGTACATGCGATGGCTTCCATCCTTGCTTCGCACAAATTACCTACACTCTCAGAGCCGCAGTCTCAACCTCTGTAAAGAATCGGTAACTCCACTTACCTCACAGAACAGTTGCACTGGTTCATACTCATTATGCAAAGCATTTAGAATGACATATAAGGCAGGGTATTCAGTGAACCACAGCGATTACTATCATCATTGTAGCAGGCATGAGCGATGTGAAGAAGTCACGTGCAGAAGAGCTGGTTTTTTCTCTTAGGCATTCCAAAAACCTCATGAGACTAAGCAGACACATGGAGAGCAAAAGAATGTGGAAATCCAAGAACTTATTTGAACCCAAAATACAATTTAGTCTCTTTAAATACAAGTCCTGTTCTTAAATTTTAAGCCAATTTTTCCACACATTGATTTGATTATTTTCCTTTCATTGTGGCGTCCGCATGCCCTTGTCACCTTAAAACACCATACCTCTGAGAGTAGACTGGAGAGTTCTCAAGGCAGGAAAGGTTTTTGTTTTGTTTTGTTTTGTTTGGAGATGGGATGTTACTACCTACCCCATCCTGGCCTCAAACTTGTGATTCTTCTGTCCCAGCCTCCAAATGCTGGGATTGCATGACCCAACATGCCCGAGGTCAAAGAAAGCGTTGTTGTTTTTTAATTCTTTTATGTTGTATGTATCTGCACGTGCTGGTATATGTGCACACACACACATGTGAAGACCAGAGGTCAACACCCCAGTGTCTCCCTCAGTCACTCTCCACCTCACGTTTTGAGATAAGGTCTCTCACTGAACCTGGAGCTCACTGACCGGACTAGACCAGCAGGCCAGCAAGCTCCAGGGATCTTCCTGTCTCCAGTACCCCAGCACTACAGTTACACGTGCACACTGCTATGCTGGGCTTCTGATGTGTGTTCTGTTCTTGAAACCCAAACTCAGGTCCTTGGGACTGTCCTGTGCAGCAAATGCCTTACTCACTCTGCCTTCTTCCCAGCCCCAAAGGGAGACGTTGATAATTCGCTTTGTGCATCTCCATTCCAGGGGCCCCTCTGAGGCCTTCCAACCAAACTAGTGCACCCACAACATGCTTGGCCAGCTGGAGTTTTCACCTTCCCACTGTCCTTAACTGTCCCCATTAACCCAGAAAAAATAGTCTTTGTGTTTATCTCAACACATTTCCCTCTAATATTGACCTTCTTTGTCATCCACTCTTACTGTAAACAAAGTATATAAGATTCTCAGAAGCTTAAGAAAATTCTCAAATGCCCACCTGGAAACACGTCCCCATCAACTGTGCCTCCAGGTCTCTGGAATTCCATGCCTTGTATATTTCACTTGTCATTATCCCATTAAAAATCATCACAAGGACTTTTTAAAAGCATTAATTTGGCCCCTGCCACTGTATAACCCTTTAACCAAGCAGTCATCTGGTCTCTCCTTAAAGCCTTTGAAAGTTGAAAATATTCAAGTTCCCATTACGGATAGTTAAAAACTCCTACCTCCATCCCTCCACCCCCATAGCCGCCTCAATTAGTATCATTACTATCATCAAATTGTCACTCACTCGATTAAGGGACAGTACAACCCTCAGGCGGGGGCATGACTGATATGACCTCCCTAGTCCCTTTCAGTCCATCCATACGAAACAAGGGAAACAAAATTGGCCGCAGTCCCAAACTATGCAATACCTGCCCCAGGGAGGCCCCTGAGGACCAGGCAGACTCCAGCGTGGGCACAGCAGGCATTTTCTCAAAGTAGGCAGAATGCCAGACCATAGCGACTGGTGTGGGAGGCCTGGAGACAAGGAGGTGAGCCAATACCCACACTCTTCCCTTCCTCCCCAATTCAACTTTCCCAGCCCCTCCTCTTGAGCTCTCAAGTCCACAGTTCTCAGATCCTTCCTGCTTTCTACCATGTGTCCATATCCCTGGCCTGGTGACCTCACTGATGATCCAGCCTGGTGCTTCTTGGAGTTTCAAGAGCATGCGGGTCACTCAGAGAGCTTGTTAAAAATGCAGATTCTGATTCAGGAGCCTGAATTATGGCCCAAGACTCTACATTCCTAACGAGCTCCCGGGTGAGGCCTGTAATACTGGCCCATGGATCATACTTGGAAGAGTGAGGATCTAAATGATTATAGCAGTTTCCATAACAGTCTCACAGGAAGAGTCCATCTATCCAATTCCATCTGTCTATCTATCCTCTAGACAGCAATGAGAATCATACCTCATACCTTCCTGATTCAGAAATCTCCCTCCATGGCACAATACACAACACAAACCTGGCTCATAAATTCCACAGCAAGTGTGGAAAAGTGCATCCTTCACAAGAGCCTCACTCACCCATGGCTCCAGAGGTCCATGTATCCTAGAATTACTGTCCCATGTCTTTTCCAATCTGCCTATCCCTTCTTTATTTCCCAAATTGCTCCACAGGCATCCTCCTTAAGGAAGCACCTCTTACCAAACACCTTTCTCAGTTTCTGCTCACACCTTCCCCTTCCAAAGAAAGGATGTCCCAATCCCCGTGTAGTTACTAGCCATTCTTACTTCAGTACCAGGCTTGCTCTCTAAATTGGGAATGATTAAACCTCCCCCCCACGCCCAGCAAAGAACGGTAGATGTTCTCACAAGGTTTTAGTATCAGTTTCTCAGAAAGGCATCCATAGGGCTCTGGCAGGACTTTGGATAATTCTGCTACGGTTACACTGCGGTCACCGGCCCGTTGTTGGGAATATTTCAGAAACCCCAGGAGTAAGAAAGTAGCTTCCCATCTCTTCTTGCCCAGAGCAAATGTATTTAAATACAAAAGAAAAATACAGGCTCTTCTGTGCCAGTGACAGCTCTAGGAAAGATGCCCACTGTGCCCACGCTGGAGTCTGTCTGTCTTCAGATTCCACGGAGGCAACTACAGAGAGGTGAGCCTTCTCTTCACCTCACTACCTCTTGCCCCTCCCAGAATTCCATGGGAATGCAGAGTGAGACCTAAGGAGGTTGCTCCTGGCATTCTCTTGCTCCAGGGGGTTATTATCCCTTGTTCTTTGAGTCAGGGCTGAGGGAGGAGGTCAGGAGGGAGGACTACAGGTAGCCCTTGCTCAGAGCAAGATCCCACTAGAATGGACAGACAGGATAGTCTTCAGGGAGGGCTGAAGAAAAGCAAAATTGGGAACAGCAGCTGGCACAATTCTAGACGCTAGAAGGACAGGGAAAGCAGCTGTTTGTCAAAGAAGCCTCCTAAAGGATGACTTTAGGGGAGCAAGCCAGTGCTAGCCTTAAAGGAAGGAAGCTCTTGCACTGTGAAAATGTATAAAGCTCAGTTCAATGCGGCTAGGTATTAAAACTTCTTATGTGCCTAGCACTTGGCTGGGTGCCAAGGGGAGTACCAGGGATGGACAATCTGTGTGTGGGGGCAGGGGAGTCACGAAGACACAGAAGGTGGTGGTTCTTAATCTAGGGGTAGTGTTCACTGGGGATGTGTTTCCCTCACTTCTTTTGCACACATGGACACGCTTCTGGTGTTCAGCCTCTTATGTCACCTGGAAAGTTGTAAAACGTGCAAATTCTGGACCTGATGAATTTAAAAGTGTTGGCAGTAGGGCCCAGCAATCTGTTTCATTTTGTTGGATTGTTTGTTTGCTTGGGGTTTGATTTTTTATTTTATTTTATTTTTTAAGATAAGGTCTCTGTGTAGCCCAGGATGACCTTGAACTCTTGACCATCCTGCCTTCTCTCCCAAGTGCTGCAACTGTAACACTGCACTTTAAGCTTTCCAGGTGATCTGAGGAGCTAGAGGTTAAGAGACTCATTGAGCACAGAAATACTCCCAGCCCCTCTGCCCCTCTCCTTTACCGTGACTTCTGAGATTAGTGAGTTTGTCAAGCAGCTTTGAGCATGCCCAGTTTTTACCTTCCGGTTTCAGGATTTTGGCTGCTGCCTTTTGTTTGGAAAGCTGGTGGGCTCACAGGACATGAGCAAGCTGACCTACTCACACATGACAGAAGTCAGTCAACAAAAGAAGACTCCAGCTTTGTGGTATGACACGGGTTATGTTCAGCATCACAGGACTAACAAGCCAATGTGGCTGCAGCTCTAACCCTGGCATAACCATCTGTTGTTTCCTGTGTCTCGGTTATCAGTTGGTTCCAAAATTAGGAGGGAGCGTTATTTATGATATCCTTAAAATTCCAACAATGGGTGTTTGTGAAGAGCTGGCAGGCTGCAGGACCAGACTGCCTACCGTAGAGAGACTAGTTAAGAGTAAGACCGCAGATCAGCCAGAGAAGAGAAAACAAAGCTAACTAACAAGACAAAAACAACACAAAGAAGAGCCAGAGAAAAATGCCAGAATGTTTTAATAAGTAGGATCTTAAAAACCATTCCTTCTGCCTTCTCATGTTAAAAAATTAAGACTCAACCCACTGAAGGACCTGAGTGGTTCGGCAAGGTCACATTGCTAGTTGGCAGCAGAGACAAGACCAGAACTCAGGACACCTGGCTCTCAACTATACACTAAGGAGACAGACCAAAGGAAACAGCAGAACAATCTTCAAGTTCATGAATACAGTCACTGTCTAGTAAAAGAACCAATTCCAGGAACTATAGGATGGTGGTGGGTTTAAGGCCAAATGCTTTGTGTTCATAAGAAAAGTCTGGGGCTGGAGAGATGGCTTAGAGGTTAAGAGCACCGAGCACCAACTGCTCAGGACTTCCAGAGGTCCTGAGTTCAATTCCCAGCACCCACATGGTAGCTCACAACCATCTGTAATGAGATCTGGCACCCTCTTCTGTATACATAATAAATAAAGAAATCTTAAAAAAAAAAAAAGAAAGAAAGAAAAGTCTGGCTCCAAGTCACCCCTTCTCACCCAAGGATAAAGCTACAGCCTGCTCAGTGTGCTCCAAACACTGTTTTCTGTAGCTAGAGTTTTCCTGCCTGGCCCACAGTCAGGACAAATCTAGCTACAAATGGCGTCCAACGTGGTGGCAAGAGTTTCCACCTAAAAACTGAGAGAAAAGATTCTAAAACGGAGCTAAAAACAGTTCCTAATTGTCTCTCTCAAATGAGCAGCAGCCTGCCAGTTTGAGCTACTTGTGGGTTCCTAGCGTGCGTGCGCACTCGACCTGCCTATGGCAGGAATGAGGCTTCTGCAAGTGGCACATTAAGCTGCATGGTGGATTTAGCCTTTGCTAGTACAAAACAAAAAAAGAGGTTTCTGGGCTACACACTGCTTGGATAAAAGCATAGACCCACGACAGCTCCCAGAGCTGACAGTAAAT